TCAGCAGTTGGGACCCACCAGACCAACTAGTGACTCACGCTCTCTACTCTCCCACCACAGACCCTAGCTGTATATTTAAGACGGGGTACTTCTCATCGAGACGCCTATCATTATTATTAGTTGATCGTGACCTCCACCCAACCCTTGTGTATATGTGTGTGTGTGGCCCTAACTTGACCAACCAGTAACTCACGCCCTCTACTCTCCCACCACAGGCCTAGCGGGGTACTTATCATCGAGACGCCTAGCATCATCACTAGTTGGAACCCACTAGACCAACTAGTGACTCACGCCCTCTACTCTTCCACCACACACCCTAGCTGTATTTTTAAGGCGGGGTACTTATCATCGAGACGCCTATCATCATTATCAGTTGATCACGACTTCTTCTCGGCCTTATAGTCGCGTGTGTGTATCTGCTTGTGTGTTCAGTTTCGTTGGTTTGTGTCCACAAGCTCTGTGTCTGTTCGTAGTAGTGTGTGTGGACCCGATTTTGTAACAGACGCTGCTCCCCACCGTGGAGTATCGGCTGAGTGAGTACCGATGATATCACCACCACCAGTACATGTGTGTGGGGTAGTGTCTCGTGTGTATATGTAATATGTGGTAGAGACAGGCCTATCTGGACAGGAACCCCCCCAAAGTTTGGAACCGGACTCGAACATGTGACCTACAGTATGAGACTAGAGGGTTCTACCACATCCACTACCGTAGGAAGTGGATAAAATGTGTGAAATATCTAGGCTGGGAGAGATCATTAGAGCGACCAAGTCAACAACAACAAGCAACCAACTTGAAGTCTAGACCATCATACAACACCCATGGACTGACCCCGGGTGGTGTGCAGGCAGCGTCTGTAATGGTACCATGCGTCAGCCCAGGGGAGTGCGTCCAGCCGTGCGTCATTCTATCGCCCTGCCGATGTCCATGCGCGAGGCTGCAGAGTTTTGAACCCGCAACCTCATACCACAATGCGCATTTCCAACCGGTGCTCTAACCACTGAGCCACAACAACTGAACGTCGTCCGCCATCTATCTTAACTGCAACGATGGTGTTAGTCAGTCTCTGAGTGAAGATATTTTCTAGTTGGCGTGCATATTGTAGGATCCTATGGCTGGATGACGCATTAAGGTAGTTGTTCCAAGTGCCCTCAAACTCCTCCTAGTGTCGTTTTAACTTCCCAATGGATCGTTGAAGTGCACAAAGTTCTTGGGTGGTATGCAGCAAGGTGTTGGTAAGAAGGTTCCAGCGTTCCTCAATTTCCACTTGTTTCCCTTTCTGCTTCTTCAGCAACGCCTAGTGTCTCTTTCCTTCCTCCCAACTTTTTTTTTCATCAAATTCTTTCCTTTTCGCAGCCAGCAGCTTTTGGTTGAGCTCACTCTTGTTCTCCTCAATCAGCAACTTACTTTCCTCCTGATCCTTAGTTGCCGCCAACTTCACCACAAACCGATCTCTCTCCTCGTCAGTTTCTTCTGGAAGCTCTGTCCGGTACCAAAATTTCTCCACCCAGTCCAAGTCCTCCTGCTGGAGTCTCAACTCCGCAGCATGACTGCTCTCCGCCACTTCCTCTCCTTCTGGTTGGACTCGTCTTCTCACCAATCCTCCTCCTCCTCCTCTTCCTTTCTCTTCTTCTTCAACTTCTAACTCCTTTTTCGAGTCTTCTTCTCTCTTCTTCGTCTCTTTCTCCATCTTTTCTTTCTCCGTCAATTTCTTTTTAACTTCCTCCTCGTCCTTTTCCTTTTTCTCCTTTTTTTTTTTTTTACAACCAACTTCTTATCGATCTTTGCCTGTTGATTTGCTGTATATGGTTGTGGTCCCACCAGACCTCATGGTCACACTCATGCCGCATGTCCGGTGGATTCCTTGAGGGAACAAAAATCGGAGAAGGGGACCCCATAGCACGGACAGGGTCAACATTGCAAACATTGGGTAGTCATCCATGGTTACTAAAGGCACCGGTATGTAGCCTCCACCTCCTCACTATGTAGACTTCACCCTCAACATTTAAACTATCTAATCTAGATTGGAGTCGGACCTATCTGAGTTCTTCCCTCTCCACAGTGTCACTACAGCCACCCTGTTAGGCTGGTGGGCAACCAGCAGCTTAAGGTCAGCCAGCAAGGACCTCATGAATTATTTAACAACGCAGACCAGACGTCGTGCCCAACAGGATCTGAAGGTTCACTCTCAAGACTTACATCTCCTCACTGCGTCAACACCTGTTTGGTTGCATGCCGGTCAGTACCGGTCTTAGGGCTAGACGAGTTGGTTTACGAGCGCTCGCCGCTCATGCACATGCTTCCTACTTTAAGGGTGATACATCCAGCTGCCGAGCTTCTATCCTAGACACAACCTACTTCATACATGTGTCTGACCAGATGCTAACTCGAGACAAATCCAGATATGTTATCTAGTGTTCTGTCCAGCAGCAGCGACACAAAGATGTGGGAAGGTACCATGACACTCGTTCATTCAGAAAAAAGCAAATGCAGGGCTTAGGGGGGCGATGCACTTCACTTACGAATGTTCCTTCAATGAAGCTCCTTGACACTCCTCGCGTGCAGGTACGTAATCACCATCCCCCAACCTGGCCACTTCTTCAGCCTGCAGGCCCTATGTCAAACTCCAAATCTCATCTCACCGGCCTGAATTTTGCCAGTGTTCATCACCAGCCAGAGATGAGCATTTTGTTTTTGAATTCGCACTTCACCCAACCCGCCCATAATTGTTTAAGCACCGCCCGCCCTCAAAAAAACAAAAACAAAAAATCTCAAGGCGACCCAACCCACCTGAGTGTTTTCTTGAAAATTTCCTCCCACACCCAACCCGCCCATCACCCGTAAAAAACCTTCACCCTGACCTACCCACACCCGCGAGAACAAAATTACCCGCCCGCACCCGGTACGCAATTATTTTCCATCCGCACCCACCCATTCCTCATTGTCTCAGTCCCTTTGAAAATTTGCACGCACTATAGCGACATGACATCCTTGGATGACAGCGCAAAACTTTGAAGCATCTCTGCCTGCAGGAATTTGAATTGCTCCACAAGTTCTAAATTGGGTAGTGAACCTAAGGCTTGGCACTTGCTGTGGTCAGGTTCGATCCCCGTTGTTTTAATGGGAGCGAACATCCCGTTGTTTGGGCCGTGGTCCAGCTGCCACCTGTAGATCGTGACACATTTTTTCAAGGAGGACCTCAAATTTCAAGTTGCCACTAGCGCAACTCTTTTTCTCGAGGACCAGAACTTTTTCTCCCAGGGGCCCCAGGGTGGAGACTTTCCGTTTCCTGGGCCTCCAACCTTTGAAGTCCACAGATGG